CCGTTCCCTAACCCTAAACCCTAAACCCTAAACCGTAAACCGTAAAAACCCTTGAACCCTAAACCCTTAACCCTCTAACCCTCTAACCCTCTAAACCCTAAACCCTAAACCCTCAACCCTAAATCCTAAATCCTAAACCCTAAACCGTTTTGGTACCTTCAGGCCATGGCAGGCTCGCTCTTGGCACCTGTTGCGTGAGCCGATTTGCATGAGTTCCCACCCCTAGTAGGCCCCATAGTAGGGTTTAGGGTTTAGGGTTTAGGGTTCAGGGTTTAGGGTTTAGGGTTTAGGGTTTAGGGTAGTAGTTCCTTTTTGGGATTACCTTCTAGGATTCTAAACATGAGCCCCAAAAAGGAACTACTATGGGGCCTATGGGTAAACCTTACGTCGCACATCACGGAGCCCCTAACAACCGTAAGTCGTAACCTAAATCCTAAGTCGTGGACTCTATCTGCATGTTCTGTTCTTGCACACATCCGAACGGGTCCAAGCAGAGCCGAAGAAGAAATCGCGGAGTAAACCGTAACCCTAAACCCTGAGCCTTAAATCCTCAACCCGACTCCCTAACCCCCACACCCTAAGCCTCCAAATCCCAAATCCGAAATTTCAACAAACCCGAATCAAGCGGTAAACCCTAAACCCTAAAGGCCCTAAGCCCTAAATCCTGTAGGCCCTAAACCCTAAACCCTAAAGGCCCTAAGCCCTAAATCAAGTAGGCCCTAAAAACCCTAACAGCAACAGACGGAAGGAGACCTCACCTCCCCCGCCTTCCATGTGACTCGAAAGCTCCTAAGCCTTCTTGAGGCAAGAGTAATAAAAGGCCTCAATAATTAGAATAGGGTTCCTTAAAAGGGATACTATAAATAAGGGATACTATAATCTACAATATAGGGGCCTTAATAACTGGAATAAGGTTTGGGGCTAGAATATATTGTAATTATGCAAAGGAACCCCCACACCCTATTCTGATCACTAAGGCCCTACATTAGCCATCTTGAAGAGATGGCGACTACACTGGTTAGGGTTTAGGGCTTAGGGTTTGGGGTCAGTTAAGTTCCTGAATAAAGTTCTTGTTGAGGAACGCAGTTTGAACTAGCACAATAGGGAGCGCCCAGAATAAACAAGAAGGGTAGGCGTTATGGGGAAGAAGAGACCCCCGTTTTCGGGTACCTACTTTCTATGTAACAGATGCTAGCCATAGCAACTGGGTACCTGAGAATAGTGGTCGGGTATGACTCTTAAGCTATGTACTTCTCCGATAGTTCTATAGGGACTACCTTGGGGACCAAATGACCCATACAAGTAGGGGCCCTGTACCTTTATACTATGAGTCCCTATATGGTAAAGGAACCTGAAACCCTTTTGGGGTTCATTTCGTCCTTAAGGTAGGGGGGATATGCCTCTGTCAAGCATGCGTCACCAAGCCTGAACCCGAAATCCAACACTCCGAAACTCAAGCCCTATACCCCGCTCGAAACTCCCATTCCTGCCAGCACCCCCAAAGTGCCCTTTAATGGAGCCCTTAGTTGCCTTTTTCTTGGGTGTTTGGGGTTACTTAGAGGGTAGTTGGGCCCTTATAAACTCTAAACCCAAAATCCTCAGGCTTGCCGCCAATTTCACGAGCCTGGGGCCCTGCATGGACATCGATGTTCACTCGGAGGGCTTACAGCTGAGCCCTGTTGACGTCACAGCAGATGCCACTTGGGCTGCTCAGTTCCGGGGTGTACGACTTAGGGTTTAGGGTTTAGGGCGGGGCTGCTTAAACTATAGTTAAGGTCTGTTGTTTAGGGACTATAGTGTTAGGGCGCTACATAAAGGATCAGGGCGCCAAGGACGTAGGGCAAAAGTACGACAACCACAGTCCGCGCGGAACCCTACAGTACTCATCAGAATATCCTAAACCCTAAACCATAAGCCCTAAACCCTAATTCCCCAGACTTCAACCGAACCTCGAAGTTGACTTGACACATCTGTAGTACAAACGAAACCCACAGAAACTTTGAGCCCAAAAGTATGAGACCTCATAAGCAAAAGCCACAAGCAACTGTAAACCTGGAGCTCAGTGAAACCATAGACCCGTCCAGAGCGCGTAATCGAAACATTGCAGAAGCCTTCGACCTTAAACATAAGCCCTACCTATGGCCCAAATGACCTACCTTTTTAAGGAACTATATATAGGAACCACAATAAGGAAGCCAAAAAAGGTAGGTCTTTTCGGCAACAGGTAAGCCTTTAACTTAAGCTTTCTTATAAACCATAACTGTTACCTAACTCCTAAACTTGCAACCCTTGCCCCTAAACCTTAAGTCCCAAACTTCCAACCCTAAACCCTAAACCCTAGCTGCTACCGAACTCCTAAACGCCGCCGAGTTCTGGTACGAAGACCATCGGCCTGCGGGACTCGCATTAGTGTCTCCCTGCAACTGCAGCAGCGTGGTGCCCGGCGCGCAGGCTGCTCTGGGGGTTCGGGGTCAGGGTTTAGGGTTTCGGGTTTAGGGTGTAGGGCTTGTAGAGTTTAGGGCCTAGCTGTGGCCCAAAAGACCTACCTTTTCTTTTAAGGAAGTAGGTCTAGAAACCATAATAATAAGGAGCCCCAAAAAGGCAGGTCTGTTCTGCAACAGGTATAGGCTTTAAGACTTTAAGGGTATTTACAGGGTTCAGGGTTTAGGGGATCATGGTTTTAGCAGGTTTTGGGCCCAGTGCAATTTTTTGGCCTAAATAGTTGCCTGTATTATTCCAATTGTTTTTTTAATGATAGCTGTATATTACAAAGGAGCTCAAAACCCTGTTTTAAATATTAAGGCCCCTACATCAATAGTTAGAAGTGTCATAAGGCTACTAGGATTTAGGGCCCCGGATTTCAGGATGTAGGTTTCACTTGTAAGGGTTTGTCTTGTAGGTGCTGTTGCTTTTAGGGTTCAGGGTTTAGGGTTTAGGGTTCAGGGTTTGGTTCCTCTGAGAGTCCAAGTATCCCAAAAGCCACATAACTTCCCGATTATTCATCTACATGACCACTGAGTCCTACACCCAAACCCTAAACCCTAAACCCTAAACCCTAAACCCTAAGTGCCTGATCATTGGGGCCTTTGGCCCCCCCAAAAAGCCGTTTCAAACCGTACAAAACCCTTAGATAACTTCTGAAACCCCCTGTAGAAGCCCTGATCACTGGGTCCTTTGGACCCTTCGGGTTCCTGTGTCAAGCTTATGAGGTGTAGGGTTTAGCGTTGAGGGTTTAGGGTTTAGGGTTTAGGGTTTAGGGTTTAGGGTTTAGGGGTTAGGGTTTAGCGTTGAGGGTTCAGGATCGAGAGTTCAGAAAGTGAGGGTCTTGTCTTGATGGGGCGCCAGGGTTTTAGGGTTCAGGGTTTATTTAAGGTCTAGGGCTTCTTGAGGGTTTAGTTACGGTTTAAGGCTTAGGCTACCACCGCCACCTCGCCACCAACAACACCGCCAGCAGCAACAACAACAACAACAACAACAACAACAACACCAGCAGCAGCAGCAGCAGCAACAACAACAACAGCAACAACAACAACAACAACAACAACAACAACAACAACAACCTGAACAGCAGCAGAAACAGCAACAGCAACAGCAACAAAGGATAAGTATCAGCAACAGCAACAACAGATACAGCAGCAAAGCAAACGCAAAAACAAAAGCAGAAGCAAAAACAACAGCAACAGCAGCAGCAATAGCTGCCGCAGCAGCAACAGCTGCAGCAACCGCTGCAACAGCAATCGCCGACACCATCTCGTGCACATGACGAACCACCTAGGTAAGCCTCATCCTGAACCTACGCCAAACACCCCAAACTCGAAATGATTGTTGGGCCCGAGCCGTACCGGCAGAGAAAGTAACACCTAAGACGGGTATAAGCTCGTAAGCCGTCCATCCGACCAGGAGAACCTCAACTTAAGCCTTAACCCTAAATGTGTAGCATGTATAGGGCTCTAGGGTACCCAACCCCAAGCTCTTAGCTGCAAAACCACTCAGGCACGCTCCCTAAGCACTAAGCCCTAAACCCTGAACCCTAAACCCGGACCCTGCGAGGAATGTTCCTCTCACAATCGCCTGGGGTTTGCCTTCCACCATATGCCACCGGTCAAGCGGCTGGCATTCACCTGCAGGTGCGGGCCTTTTGAGCTTAGGGTTCAAGGATTTAGGCTTTAGGGTTTAGGTTTGTAGGGTTTTAGGATTTAGGGTTCCCTAAACCCTA